AGGTTTTATTTTCTTCAGGGCTTGTTCTAATTCATCCATACTAAACTCATCTTCAAAAAGGGAGTTGTTGGCTGTTGGAGCTCTCTCTTGTTTCTTTAACCGAGATAGCTGTATTCTATCACATTCTGTGCGTTTGCCTGCTCTGTTAACAGAGGCAAAATAATGATTGAAATGTTCAGCTTTCTTCTTGTCTTCAGTGATTGTCTTACTCCCGTCTGTCACTGGTTTTGGGTTCACCCTTCTACTTTCTCCGGAGAGGTTTTTAACTAAAGTCCATGCTTTATTTCCATTCTGTCTAAGGTCTAAGTTGGAGCAAGTTTCTGTCCATTTATCTCTTTTAGCCTTATTAACTGCAAGCTTTACTCTGGCACATGCTTTATTGTATTGGATCTTTGCTTCTGTTGAACGTGCAGTTTCGAGTAATGTTCTTGCTTTATTCCTTTCAGATATAGTATTTTGAATTTCCTGATTCCAGAAAGGTTTATATGTCTTCCGACTGCCCCTTGGGATGGCTTTCAGCGCTGCTTTCATGATTGCTTCTGTTAGATCTTCACAAAACGTTTCCACACAGCTGTTGTCAATTCTTCCCAGGAGGAAGTCAGATGTTTCCTGAAATAGTTTCCAGTTTGCTTTTCGAAAATTCCAACGGGTTCTCTGCTCAAAGCATGATTTAGCGGGGGTGCTTACAGTTGTAAGTATTGGCTTGTGGTCACTTCCTATGTCGTCCAGGACTTGGGGGTAACTTGTGTCTGCTAAGTCGGATGAGCAGATGGTCAGATCAGGTCGACTGAGAGATAGGTGGGCCCTGTGTAAGAGTGTAGGTGGAGACTCTGTGTCCTGCAGCACTAAAAGGTTAGTTGTTTCACAGGTATCTTCGATGTATTTCCCTGTGCTATTGTAGTCAGGGTAACCCCAACGTGGCGAGTGTCCGTTGAAGTCACCAACAAGAAGGGTTTTAAGGTACTGTGTCTTGTATAGTTCTGGTATATAGCATGTTGTCTGAGGTGGGCTGTACACGTTGTATATCGTATATTTGCTTCCATTGTGCCAGATAGTAATTTTCTGTATATCTGTAGGGTTAGAAGCCGATAACACTGTTACATCTCCTTGTATGTCATTTCTGATATAGGTTACTATGCCCCGGCAGTCAGTGCACTTACAGGCATAACTAGTATATCCAGTGAGATGCAGATCAGAGTCCCTATGTAGGGTTTCTTGTAGGGCAGCCACGTGTACCCTGTGGTTGTTTAGCAGTCTGGCAAGTTCAAGTTTCTTATTTCTTATTCCACAGATGTTCAGCTGTAGAATATTAAGCTTCTGTGTATTTTTGGCTGTGCGGTCTGAGTTCTCTTTGCCCTCCCTCCCACTCTGCCTTTTTCTGGGGTGCCTGATCTTCCAATTTTCCCTAAATTTTCCAGTAGCCAATTTTTCGCACATGACAGCCTGGTTTCCCACTGTCTGGCGCGGGCCTTGATAGACGAGGCGACGACCGATCTCGTATGTATAATTAAATTTTGACTCTTTCATATCTATGGCATTGTGGTGCTGGGGTGTCTGTGGATAACCTCCCTCCCCGGACAGCAGCCAGAAGTGTCCTGTACCAGTCTTAAAGGAAATATGGGTTGTGTTTCTGCCTTTTCCTTTAACACGTAGCTAAGGTGGGGCTCACAGTGTGCTCATTCCCCGCCACCAGATTGCCTGCAGGTTTCGCTGAGCTCTTCTTGGCTCTAAGCATGGCCTACTGAACATAATAAATTAAGTTTCAAAATGCATGTTTCTAAACCAGCTAAGGAACCAAACCAGTTCACAACTTAACCCGGCAAGTTGGTACTGCAGTATTGTAAGCCTGCACATTTAGTTTTGAACAACGGATCAACATCATGGCTAACGGGTGTATACCAGAAGTGCACCGTTATTCTTCTAACTCAAGTCTGAGTCCGAAGAAGCTCAGCATAGTGCACAGGCTCTGTAGCACTGGCGCGGATCCTGAAATACTTTGGGTGGATTTTTAACTCCAAATTTTGCCTCGGCAGCGCCGTTTCGATTTTCAGCTGTCAAGTAATTTTTACGTGCGCAACAATATACACTGGCGTCCGATCTCACTACCCAGAGACCAGGGGGCAATTACTAGAAGTCCAAATCCACCTAAAAAGAAATCCCAGGAACCTCTAGCACTGGAGGCGAACACCATGCCTCGAGACCAGCATATTTGAAGACGATGAAACCAGTGCCTCTGAAAACCTGCTGAAGCATTGCGTCTTAAAATTCCTATTGCGTGCGGAGCGGAATGGCTTTAGATACGGGCTGTTGACTTTAAGGAATTCTGCTTACCTCATCTGATAACCTAGTTCGTGTTTTTTGTCGATTGGATCATTCAAACTGTTTGAAAGCGTCTTCACTGTTGACATAATTTGATATCAGAGGATACTAAAGTTTTGCCTCAGGAGTTTTGAATGCGGTATTTTTATTTTTATTTTAAAAGTCTGCAATTACTTTTAAAGGAACTGACATCACAGTTAGCCCACAGTCATCATCATGTGACGAGTCGTAACATGTTGGAAAGAGGAGATTGAGAAAAATGAGGGGCGAGTGGTGGTGGAGGTGGATAGGATTATCCATGCTTCATGAACTTACAGAATAACCACAGTGAAGGGTGGGTGTCGTTTAATCCCACCAGGATCGTACAACGAGCGACTAGCACCCGGTAACACAAAGTGCCACCATTCGGATGAGGATCACCCGGCCACAATTCCTAGAAACCCCGTTCAACCGTTAGATTATATTAACTCTTTAAGTTCCAAGGAAGGCACCATACGTTCATATGTTCCTACCTAGAAGCACAATTGAGGCATGATGTGTTGATTTTATGTCTCTTTATTACCTCTTGGGCCTGTGATGCTAAACCCACTGGGACTCAAAGAGTTAAGGCCCCCGGCTACAGCCGGGGTTGGGCTTTAAAATAACAAAACTTTGCATCCTACAACGGGACTAGAATTATTAAACAAACTTAACAGTTTATGCACCTCTTGGTTATTATCGTCTCATTTGTTTCTCAAACGGCCGGTTTCAGCAGTAAGGCCACCAAGCTCAAACGGGCATTCCCGTTTTTGTGAGGCCGCCGTGACCGGTCAGGACTCATCACTGTTATCGAGTAGATTTATACACAAATTGAACTACAGCTTAATATTCTAAAGAAGGCGGTGGTTTGTCAATTCCTCCCTGATCTGGACAGGTTCATTTTTCAACGTCGGGCGCCCAGTATAACATTAGGGATAAACCTGGATTTTACCGAGAATTGTACATGTGGGATTCTCATTCTTGAGGTGTTAATCACACAGGCTGTAATCCTAGAGGGAACAAACTATCTACTACTTACCTCCCATATGTATCGCTCTCTACCTTTTGCTCGCTTTTCTTGGACGTTCCCCTAGTCTGTGTTTTATAAAAGTGTTATATCTTTTAATATGACCCAAATATTGTACTTCTCTTCGTTTTATTTTGTTCAACGACTGTCTTTTAATTTCTTTTCAATTTAGAAGCTCTGCATTTGAATGCCTTTGTTAACTTCTTCTATTGTGGGTAAATACCACGAATAAGTTTTCAGGAGTCACTACACCAAAACAAGTTTAAAATTTTTTTTAACAATGTTAGACCAAAAATTTATAATAGTCCTTTTTAGGGATATTTGTTAGTGTATTTGCACACTTTAGGTTATTAAAAAAAATCACGGTTGTTAATGGCAACAGCTGCCACCTTGGAAAAAACATGTACTTAAAATCCTAAAATTTCAAAAACAAACATAGGTATTGAGACCCAGATAATGGATTCATAAACTTTAATCCTGTGTTGAGCTACATGTGTAGTTTATTTACTTTAAGGATGTTTCTAAATATTTTTTCTTAGAAGTTTAAAACGTAGCTTGGTTAAAAATGTTAAAAAAAATGGCACTCTTTTAAGGCGGCATTATTAGACAATAATCAAATTTATAAAATCAAAAACTTTCTGAAATCTACTTTTAAAAAGACCTGTCCCTATAATATTGTTTATGGAGTTTTCATGCCAAATTGATGTTTCCAGATTTTATATAACTAGGATTTAGGATTTGTAGTATTAGTAGTAATATATTTTACCTCACTGTGACATCCCACAAGCGATAAACACCGGATGACACAAAGTGCGGATGACAATAACCCCTGGAGGAGTGCCGGAAACCCCGTTCAGCCATTAGCCATAATAATGGCTGGGCTATATTGCCGCCCCTGACAAGCGCCAGGGGAATGCTTCAAAATAACGAAAAATGGCACCCCACGGGGGGATGACGGGATTAGCAGTTTAGGATTTTACACATCCAGCAAACAGAAAAAATAGAGTTGTGAGACAGCTGACTGTAAGACTTTTTTTTTTTTAATCTTAAAAAAAGTGCTTAGGCTTGTGTCTTTAGTGTTAAAGTTTTAATGCTAAATTGTTTATAAATGACACAAATCTTATGGGTAATTTATTCTTCAAATGCCGAACTTTACAAAAACGAACACATTAAAGAAGTGACATTTGTGTCATAAATTGAAACAAATGCCGTGTAGTGACCCCTTAAACAAGTATGAGGCAAATATAATGGCCAGACCTTGTAAAAAAAAATTGCTGGTACACAATCAAAGTATGAAAGCGAATTCCAAGAGTGTATATTATAAAATGTATTTTTCTGTTCATTAATTGACTGTCTGAAATTATATCTCAGTCTAAAACAGATTCCTGGCGCAGCTAATGCAGTTCCGACCCTTTTCAAGTAAAATTCAAATAGTTGGGTGCTGTTATCACAGTTATCAAAATATTTGCATACTATGCAATCCAAAGCTGTTATGAATGTTATCAGTTGACTAACTGGAACTGCTTTTTTTTAAGCATAAACGGTAATGCAATATTTAATGTAGACATTTATCGTCTGTGGTTTATCTGGCAACCTACACTCAGAGGGATTAGTATTCTTTCTTTCATGGATTAACATGCCAGGGCGTAATTATTCTGGCGGCGGTGGATTCCACCATCAAAGCGGTACTTTGGCCAGGAGTTTCGGCCATGTTGTAAACAGCAGGGAGTACCCTTTCCCACAGAAGAGGGAAATCAGGGAGAATCCAGAGAGAGCAGTTAATTCCTATTTAGCAGAGGATGAAAACTTTCCTTCCTTCCGAGCGCAGCTGGCTAGGATGGGTCTTCAGCTCAGAGACATTCCGGCAGATGGGTAAGCATGATTTTCTCTCTTTCCTTAAACTTGAAAGTTGAGTGGAAGGTCCCTCTGTGGATTCTGTGGCCTATGTGTGTGTTGGGAAAAGGGGGTGGAAAAAGGGGGGGGGGGGGGTTGACAAGAAAGGATAGAATCGGTACTCTCTAACAAGCATATCGTATGGCTTAGTTTAAATGAGATGTGCTGGGCCAAACGGCGCAGATATCGCAACCTAGCTGTACACCAAAACACAGCATCTTGGATACTCTGCAGGTTTTCAAGCTTGAAGAGGGGAAAGATGGCTCAGAAAGAATCTCTCTGGACATGGTGTTGTAGTACCAAGCTGGGGTTACGGCACCTGTGCCTTGAGACACCTGAAGTCCCCCCCCCCCCCCTTTTTTTTTTCGCACACACCAGTATAATTGAAGCTTAGCCCCTTCCCTTCCACTCTTCATGTGCACATTTACAACGGTGCTACGCGTCTCCAGTGGACCAAGAGGTGAAGAAAAGATGCTGACGCTGGATAGGACCACGTCCATCTCTAGACTATAAATGTATAGCCACAGAAGGGCGTGGATAGGACATACGTTGAGAAAACCTGAGAACAACATAACAGTATAACTACAGTGTTTTTGCAGTGCACTGGAACTCACAGGGGCGTAACAATAAAGACTAAAAAGACACGGAGAAGCGAGCTAGAGAGTGATGTTAAAAAGCTGAGGGAGATCAGTGTGCGCTAGCGAAGGATAGAACGACTTGGCGTGAGTTGGCTGATGGCTTCCAGCCCCCCCCCCTTTTGCACCCCTCCCTCTCCCAACCATAAATAAGTTCTCTATCAAATAGTTCCTATTGTTTCAATTATATATAATCATTTTTTTGGTTCATTCGGCACAATATTTGTATTACTATTATTACACACCTCAAGAAGGCTTAAACCTTGAGCTCCTAGAAAATGTGTAATGGATCCAGTCCACACCCCTCCCCCCTTCTAAACACATTTGAGACTATTTAGCACGGTATTCTTCTTCTTCTTCGAGCTCATCAGCTGTAAACTCTTGTAAAGAGTTCTGGTTGTTTGTCCACTTTTGAACTGCAGTCCTGCTACAGAACCTGAGTGTTGCGTGTGCATCAGTTTTACAGATCTGATTCACTTTAATGCAGACTGTTGGTTCCTTACCTCTCAGGCAGATGCATTCCGACTTCAAAGGAAGCTCCCCAATTAGTCGACTCTTATGATATGCTTTTGGATAGGCAGAGGGTCTATTCTTGTTTTCCCCACGATGGGGCCCCAGAACCCACACGGAAAAGCACGGTATTATAATCATTGTTACGCCTACTAGGATAAGCCTCAATATTACCTAGAAAATTTTTATGGCCGCGGAAGTTTGGGTGACCCCCCACCACCCCCCCCCCCCCCCCCGCCTGGAAAATATATGAGACGGGGTGCGGGGGAGGGGAGGGGGGGGGTGGGTGGTAGTAAGCGCTTCGCCGCTTCCATGGTTTCTTTGCGTCTGCGCGCCTAATTGTATTAGGCTTGATGGATCAAAAAATGCCAGCAGTAAGTCTGGATAAAAGTTACCGGTGTATCAACTTTATACAGTTCAAATCTCTCACCTTATGCGCTCTCTTTCTTTCACATTTGATTCACCTCATCATGTGAAAGTGTATGCTTTAAAAAAATGTAGTTAAGATACATTTTGCTTTTCAAAACTGAGTTGTTTCTATTGAAGAAAGTGAGAGCTGATCTCATATCCACCAAAAAACTATGCGCAAGTATAATAAACCCCCAAAATCAAGTTGGTACAAAAAGAAGCTGCAAGTTTTATGCTTTTAAGTGACGCCAAAATAGTTCACATCTCTTCTTTCTACAATTATCTCCATTAACAGCTTTTTCAAATAATATATAATTGATTGGTTGTTTCCATTATATACGACATATTCTTCTGTATATACACATCTAGAGTGCTAACCAGTCTATGAGAATAATTTGAGAACCTTTGCAAATATGGTAATGTGCTGATAATATGCTTGACAACTATGTCAGGGCGCAGTTATTCATTAATCATATGCACTTCAAGACAACTCAGATAAGGACTGAAGAGTCGAGACACTGTTAGGATCCGAAAATATGTCATAGAAGATCAAATTAAAAATGAAGAAATAAGACGACTTGGACTAAAAGCAGTCATTCATTTATTTAAAGAACAGTATCTGACATGATTTGGTCATCTGATAAGATCATCGTTGCATAAACTGCCAATGAGTGACACTGAAGAAATATGAAGCGAACACACTGATGGGAGACTACAAAAGATGAAACAAAAGCACCAAGAACAGACGTAGAGAAATTAATGCCGACTGACATGGTCTATTACAAGGAGCATACAAAAAATCATTTCATCTTTCACAACATTTCGTTGTGGTAACTGGCAACAAAATAATAATAGTAATAATAATAATAATAAAATAATAATAATAATAATAGAAAGAAGAAGAAGAAAGGAAAGAAACAAAGAAA